AGATGGCACCTCATGCGAGTGAGGATGACTCGTTCGAAGAGTTTGCCCATGGCCTTGAGGAGGCTGATGGGACGGTGACTGGAGGGGAGGTGGTGAGGCTTTACTGGCTTGGGGATACCAATGACAATTACCTCTTTCCACGTGGTGGGAAAGTAACTGAGGTTGAAGCAGGCGTTGAAGATAATAACCAATAAGCACCTGCTCAGGAAAATGTTCGAGGGCTTGGTTGGAGATGCCATCCGCGCCCGGAGACTTTTTGGGCTTCTGTCTTTTGACTATGGATGAGATCTCATCATTGGACACAGTGATAGCCACAGAGGCTGTGGAGGGAGAATCCCGGCGGCGGACCTCATCTACCTACTGCCTGGATGTGGGAGGGCTCGGTGCGATGTGAGCTAGGAGAACATTGAGCGGCGATGCTGTTTGCAAAGCACTCATCCTTTTCCTCGTCCTCGAAGGCAACCGTCGGGACAATAGAGAGGGGGAGTGTGAGTGATAGCGTCTATGCGCAGGGCTCTCGCCATGCGGTAGTACGCTGTAAAAGAAGTGGAGATATTCTCCATGAGTTTACTATTTTCGAGGTCTCGAAGTTCGGAACTTGACAGCATACAGGCATCTGAACAGACAGATCTCCAAATGCATGCGGCGGGACTTACGCAACTTCTATACAGCTCGTATTGAAGAAGCGATCGAGCGGAACCAAGGCTCCAAAGTCTTTGCCAGAGATCTGTCTGCCAGAAAGAGCCAACTGTCAAAGCTGAAGACAGAATGTGGCAGCATCGTTTCCGGGACACCTGAGATTTTGAGTGAGATTGAGAGGTTCTATGGGCAGCTGTACACGTCATCGTTGGAGCCACACGCAAGTGTGAGTAACGATCCAAGAGCAAGTCTCATCCGACACTATTCCGAAGATATCCCGGACGTCAGTCTGAGCGAGATTAGAATGGCTCTCCAGCACCTTAAAAACGGTAAGGCCCCAGGCGAGGATGGAATTACAGCGGAGCTTCTGAAAGCGGGTGGAAGACCGGTACTTGAAGTCCTTCAGAAGCTCTTTAATTCCGTCCTCCATGGTGGCATTACACCGGAGGCGTGGAGCAGAAGTGCGGTGGTCTTGTTCTTCAAGAAAGGTGACAACGCCCTCTTGAAGAACTACAGACCGATTTCCCCTCTGAGCCGCGTCTACGTGCTGTTTTCGAGAGTCATTACGAATCGTCTCGCGCGCAGACTTGACGACTTCCAGCCTCCCGAACAAGCCGGTTTCCGAAAGGGCTTTAGCACAATAGACCACATACATATCCTTCGGCAAATTGTACAGAAGTCCGAAGAGTACAATTTGCCACTATGTCTGGCGTATGTGGACTATGAGAAAGCCTTTGATTCCGTCGAAATTTGGGCGGTGCTGCAGTCCCTTCAGCGGTGCCAAGTTGACTGTCGGTATATCGAAGTGTTGAAGTGCTTGTACAGTAGGGCTACGATGGCTATCCGAGTACAGAATCAGAGTACGAAACCTATCCAATTGCAGAGAGGTGTAAGACAGGGTGACGTCATATCCCCGAAACTCTTCACCGCTGCATTGGAAGACGTTTTCAAGCTTCTGGACTGGAAAGGATACGGTATCAACGTCAATGGCGAGTACATCACTCACCTTCGATTTGCCGACGATTTAGTCCTTATGGCAGAATCGCTGGAGGACCTAAGCACTATGCTCAATGACCTCGATAGTGTTTCCCAACGGATAGGTCTTAAGATGAACATGGACAAAACAAAGATCATGTTCAATGTCCATGTCACACCTATGCCGGTAGTTGTTGGGAGCACTAAGCTCGAAGTTGTTGACGAGTATGTTTACCTGGGACAAATAGTCCGACTAGGTAAGTCCAACTTCGACCGAGAGGTCAATCGACGGATTCAACTCGGCTGGGCAGCGTTCGGGAAGCTACGACACATCTTCTCGTCAGACATACCTCAGAACCTGAAAACGAAATTGTACAACCAGTGCGTGTTGCCAGTGATGACTTACGGAACTGAGACGTGGTCCTTCACTGCTGGCCGTATGAGGAAGCTCAAGGTCGCTCAGCGAGCTATGGAGAGGGCTATGCTCGGAGTTTCTCTGCGTGATAAACTCAGAAATGAGGATATCCGCAGTAGAACCAGAGTAACCGACATAGCCCAACGGATTAGTAAGCTGAAGTGGCAGTGGGCCGGCCATATAGCTCGAAGAACCGACAACCGATGGGGAAGAAAGGTTCTCGAGTGGCAGCCTCGTACCGGTAGGCGAAGTGTAGGGCGTCCCCCCACGAGATGGAGTGACGACCTGGTAAGACATGCAGGAAGTCGATGGATGCAGGTGGCTCAGGACCGTGCTTTGTGGCATTCTTTGGGGGAGGCCTATGTTCAGCAGTGGACTTGTGAAGGGCTGTAATGATGATGATGATGACGAAGTTCGGAAAGGCGTGAACGGACTTCTCATTGAAGACAATTGGCCGTACGCCTATTGTTAGGGGTGGGATAGAGTGATGCTCTCCGGAGTGTAGCTCTCTTGGCTTTTATGATTTTGCTAATATCTGGGGCAAGACTATTATTATTAGCAATCGGGATGACCCTTTCATTCTCCTTAAGGGAGGATTTCATGAGGGTGGTGATAGAATCGACCGCGGTGTCGATTTTTTCGGTACTGTCGAAGAAATCCGAAGAGATGGTGATGGGGACTCCGGAGAGTCCATAGCTGAGGCTAGGGACTCCTTGAAGCCCTTTCAATTAGTGTAGGTTTTGGTGGAGGGAGTTGAAGGAGGTGGCTGATGGCCAAGTGTGAGGGAGACAGGACGGTGGTCGGATCCTATATCGTCAAGAGTCTCGATTGCCCTGAGGTTAAGGGAAACTCCTTTTACTAGCGCAAAGTCCAGCACGTCTGGAGCGTGGTCGGTGTTGTCGGGATAGTGAGTGACACCGAGGGGACTGTAGACTGTAAGGTCGAGAGACTGAGTGATATCAAGCTTGCCACTTCGAGTAGTAGTAAGAAAAGTTCATTCAGTATGCTTGGGGTTAAAATCTCCAAACATATTGACTGAATTGCCTAATGCGAGGATGGCTTCGAAAACGCTCTTAAGGGGGAGGGTTCCACTAGGGATATAACTAGAGGCTATGACGATGGACTGATGTCCAGTCAAGGTAAGCTTGCATACCGTGGCTTCAATATTGGTAAGCGGCGAAGTGGGGATGTGGGAGTAATGAAGTGACTTCTTGTAGTAAATGGCAGTACCGCCGCCTTGGCGGTCAGGTCTGTCGTCACGATGAAGAGAATACCTATTGATGGAGAGGCCTTTGAGGTCCTTAGATTTAAGGTTGGTCTCCTGGAGGAGGAGGAGGTCAGCTTCGCGATCTCGAAGAAAGAGCTTAAGCTCAGGGAGGTTATTACGCAAACCGCAGATATTAAAATAAACAAGCGATAAACCCTTACGCTTAATACGACCGAGAGACTTGTTGAGAGCAGAAGGCTCCGACATTATATTAAGTTAAATTAAATTAACTTCCAAAGAACACAAAAGGTTGTGATGCTCAACAAGAACAAGGAGACGGTCTTGAGGGGACTGAGCATTATGCGTGCAGTATGCTTGCTAGTATGGCAATCTCCCCTATGTCGATGCTCCGAATAACAGAGTAAGCTGTATTCAGATCATCAGCAAGTGAGGATTGTGCCTGGTGTGGGGCGAGGGGTCAGGCTTTTTGGGGCCCCGGGGGAAAACTGGAAGCGGTGAGGGCTGAGAGAAGCGCCAGATGACCGCGCCTATGTGGCGGCTTGACCTTTACTCTCGACAGGCCGCACATGGTGCGTACCTGTCTGCATTTTTGGCCTCCGGCACGTTAGTCAAGATTACAAGAGCAAGCGGGAACCTGCATCTTGTGCACAGTCTCAATGGGGAAGCCCTGGGACTTAAGGTCCTCCAGGATTTTCTTATTGGACAGTTCGAAGGGAACTCCGTAGAAGACTGCCCGAACCTTACGCTCTTCCGGAAGAGCGTACGTGTGGTAGGACACACGTTCGGCCGTGAAGAGCCTGGTGAGGCGACAAAAGTCGTCGATGGATTGGGGGATGGTTAATGGCTTCGCCGAGGTTGCTGGCTTGGTCATATTTTATACCTGTGTCGTAACAGGTTTTGGAAAGTCTGGTAAATTGGCCCTTGTCTCGGAGGAAGACAGGGGGCGGGATCTCTTTCTTAGTAAGGCCAGTATCTCGTTACGTCTCCGTGTAGCGAGATGTTGGCTTGGAGGGGGGGGGGGGGGGATGTCTAATTATAATTTTAGTAGCGAGTTTCGGGCTGCGCTTGGATTTCACTTTTGTGAAGGGGGTCTCGTCCGTTATTATTTTTTCGGAATTTGTCGATTCTGTGGAGCAGCTACTGGATGTGTTGTGGGTTTGAGTGGCGGAACTCTTTTGGGAGGACAATGTTACGGACGTGGTGTCTGAGCGCTCCATGGAATCGGAGTCGGAGGACGCGGGCGAGTCTGTCTACGGGGGAGCCATAGGGGCCGCCGGGTAGGACGTGACCGGGGGGGGGGGGGGGGGGGGGGGAGAACATATGTCTGAGGGGTAAGGGAGGGAAGCAGATTGACGAAAAGGGTTTCGTTGATGGCAGGTAAGCTTAGGGTTTGATTATACCTAGTGAGGAAGGCCCTAAGTATGTCCAAGGTGAACATGATTGGGGGAGACGTTGTATTCTATGAAATTAATATGGGACTAGACGTTCGAAGCAGGATAGAAAAACAAAAACACAAACAAAACAAATAACAAAACAATAACAATAAATGGTCAAATTTCCCTGCTAGGAGGCAGGGGGGCAAGAACGGTGTGAAAACAACAAGTGTATTCACAGTCGGTGACTGCTCTGCACAGCGTGAGCAGGATAGCGAAGGCGCGAGAGCGAGAAGGCACGAGAGCAGCGGTGCAAGCGGAATAAGATTCGCACGTTTTCGTAGGAGGTTGAAAAGGTGCGCAAACTCACGCGTAGTGTGCGGGGCGCTGCAGCGAGCGCGTGTCGTGGTGCGGGCGGCGCGGCGCGCCGGCGGGCGGCGAGGGCGCGCGCGGCGGCGCGGCGGCGCCGGGGCGCGGGGGCGGCGGGCTGCGCGGCCGCGCCGCCGCCTTGCGAGGCCGCGACAGCGTGGACAGCGTGCCCGCCGACTTGTCCTCGTTCGCGAACGGCTCGAACGCGAAGTTCGTGTTCGCGCCCCTGTACTCCTTCCACGCGTTGTTCGGTATCAACTGCTCCTGAAAACACAACCAATTCATAGTACACTCACGCTGCAGCTATATTATACTTGTATTTATTTTATGTATAGAATGATGGTAAAATATCCAACGGATACCGGTAGATGAAGTAGAATTTTTCTGTCTTAACACACAGTCCACCTGGATGCTGTAACCCACGAACTACTACAAGTAAAATAAACCCTTCGCTTGTGTTTTTAATACAATTGAATAAACTCGACCGAGGTAAAACCTCGCACTTACAAAATATTGACATAAACTAGCAGTTGAATGCTTTATTCCATATAGTAAGTGTTAAAAACCAAAAACACTTTTTACTAGAAACGAAGCATTCCAACTTAACCCTCAAGTGTAACAATGCATTTACATTTTCCTTTTTAATCGAAAATAAATACAGACATCTATAAACCACAATATACCCTTACAATCAAGTAGACTAATCCCAAAAAAAATCTACCTTAACCATATAAACTATAAATAATTCACCATTATTTTTCACATATCCACTGCCACAAAATAACAGCTTAATTGCTCCTATATATTAACTGTAAAAATCTAAATACACTTTTTACTCAGAACACAACATTCCATCTTAATCCTTTGAAGTAACAACACATCTGCATTATAATTCTTAAACGAAGATAAATGTCAGTGCACTAAAAAAACCATTTACCATCAAATGAACTATGTACTCACTTCCCACCCTAATTCTATAAATAAAAAATATATTCACGTTAATAAGATACACTTGACGATTTTAGTTTAATGTGTGTGTGTGTGTGTGGTACCTTGTTTCACGGTAATAGAATATTTTCATCTAAGTTGGCCACGTAACCTTCATATAATATGTGTGTACCTTGCGGTTGGTGCGTGCCCGTGCGCCGGCCAGCGTGCAGGCGGCCTGCAGCGCAGCCAGCACCAGCAGCGCGCACACGCACGCCACCACCACGTGCAGCTTGCCCGCGCCGCCCCAGCCCCACCAGCCCCCCACACCAGCCTCCTGCACCACCGGCCGTGTGGACACCACTGTAACAACAGGTCAAATAACACTGTTAACATTAAACATGAAGATTTTTGGCGAAAACATGACCGCCGGCGGATTGCTGCTGCTGAAACGATATTACAATTGCTTCAATGATGACATAAATCTCAAGCTTTTTTCCTTGAGATATTTTCACCACCAACTTACTTCAGGTTTAAGCCTTCGCATACATAACGCATCAGCATATGGTAAAGATTTCTTTAAAAAAAATACAAATTCGGTTAGGCTGTATGGTGCAAGACCTTTGCCTGCCTTAATTGAGTAATCGTAACAATAAACTAAATGAAATAATCTACTAGTTAGTCTGTGATGAAAAACGCGGGAAAATTCTAACTAGGACGACGCAAAAATGTTGACGGAAATTTTAATATTACTATTATATTATTGATTAAGTTGTAGTTTATATTATAATATCATTTCTTTTCTAATAATATTGTACATTTTTTATTAATTCGTGTAGTGCAAAACAGTTTTTATTGGGTAAGTCTTTTAAAGCTATTATCAAACTGAAAAAGAATGCTAATAGAATACAACAACTCCATAAATTGCCTATAATATTAGAATCTATACAAATTTATAAGGAAACGAGTTAAATTGGAAAGGAAAAAATGTAACAAGAAACGGAGAAGTCTTCAAAACCCTACAATAATGATAATAATTACACTGGTTGTATTTGCTTTCGTGATGACAATTCTTTAAATATTATAAATAAGTCAGAATCGTAAATAGAATAGAATAGAATACTTTTTATTCAATATAGGTTACAACTGATTCTTATTGAAAGTCACTTTATACTTTTATCACCAAACTAAAATAAGGAAGCTAAAGAAATACTGTCGCAATATGCCACGGAAAATAACAATAGCTTCCGAAAATTATAAGAATCAACATATCTCTCTCCTTATGTTGTTAATATGCAGAGAGAGAGAGAGAGAGAAAGAGAGAGTCTTCATCTCCTAATGATGACACTACACTTCACCCAGTTACTTTAGGATTATTCTCATAAAAATAACATTATCAATTGAAGTACCAAAAAAAGAATAGAATCACACTGTCTTTTTTACGCTTTGAGGATGCTACTGCTTTTGTGAACCCCAATCCGCACAACTTAAAAGGTATTATTCCTTCCCTTATTGTAACTGGAATGGGTCTTGTATGAGGACTCCTGAACAGGTGGAGTCCAATATTAATCTACCAAATTGATGTGGCAAAATTATTACAATAAGACTATATTAAACTATATAGTAATAATTGATGAATCACCAACTTCGGAACCCACTGAAACTCTAGTTTTTTTTTTATAGGATAAGGGCGTCAAACGAGCACACAGTCCACCTGATGGTAAGTGGTTGCTGTGGCCCATAGACATCTACATTTATCCTTGATTACAAATATCAAAATGTAGATACGTTGTCACCCGTGAGGACTAAGATGGAATGCCTCGTTTCCAGTAAAAAGGGTCTCCGGTTCTCTACACTCACCATACGAAACATAGCAGCATTAAGCTGCTATTTTACGCTGGTATTCTGCGAGAGCGTGGTCCTTCCCCGGTCGAGCCAACCCATTCGTGTTACAACTATACCAGAAATATAGCTGCAGCATGGCTCTACCACGTATATTATATAATAAAAGTTATAACACATAATATATATATATATATTATAAATAAAGAAAATATGTATACTTTGCAACTATTATTAACTTGCAACTGGCACAGTGGTCAAAGGACCGTTTGCCACGATTAAGATTTAAAAAAAAAACTAACCTAATATGCCGTCTTCCAGTAGTCATTTATACATATCAATAATAAAATGGAATGTAAAACATAAAAAATATAAATAAAAAGAAAATCCATCACCAAATTTCATTCTATAAGTGTCGTAAGAGGCAACTATGAAATAACACGATACAGGTCATCTGAAGATTGCTCATGAACCAAATCTTCATTTCCATCACTATCATAAACATGGGCCACAGACACCACTTACCATTAGGTGGATTGTGTGTTAGTTTGTCACCATCTATATAAATAAAATGATAGAGGTTTGCGCATCACGGAAAAAACTACTGGGTAGACTATTTCTATTAGGTTTCCGAAGTTTTATTTCTAAGACACTTGACCCGTATCTAAAAAAAAATTATTGCGTATAATACACAATTCGTAAGTACAACAGAGCAGCATAAACCTATAGATTTTTTTGCACATGCAATGTTGTGTTGCGATCACAAATTAACTGGGAACACTTAGATGACTATGTACATAGAATTAATGATATGAGTGAATTTTTAAATAAAACTAATTTTACGGATTTTTTCGCGTATATTAACTTATTTTTATATTCCCGACGTTTCGGGTGCTTTCCAGCACCCGTGACCACGGGTGCTGGAAAGCACCCGACCGTTATTTAAAAATGTGTAGTGTTCGCGTAAATATAAGAAATCGATATGAGTGAATGTTTGGTTAGAGTAGTGTACACATGTTGTTTGAAGGAAATATTATTTTTATTTTTAGAATATAAATATAAACTTGCTGCACTAGCTGTGCCCCGCGGTTTCACCCGCGTCATCACGTGTCCGAGATGCGCGACATGACCTAGTTCAAGCATTTTATAACGGCTAGGGTTTAAGCGTCGTTCGCGCGCCCAGCCAAGTATTGAATTATTTTCATTTTACATTATCTCTTAAACTATGCGTCCAAATAACATGGTATAAAGAACAAAGTTTATCTTCATAAAATTATCTTGATGATGAAGTAACTTTCGTTCGTAAGGATAAATAGGCCATGCCTAATAATAACGCTCATAAATCACTTTTAAATTTTCAATATTTTTTTGTCACAAAATACCAAATTATGGCTTAGGTATGTATAAGAAATAGACATATGGTATCGCGGACTTTTTTTTTTGACGGAGTAAAGGTCTATATTTTTCTAGAACAGTGTATTTACGTATCCCTAACGATAACACCAGCGTACGTGGATAAATCATTTCGGGAGTGCTTTTTCTTCTGACTTGCTTAACATGCTAGATAGCCTATACTATTTCACATGAATCTGGCTATAATATACAAAAAGAATTTTTCAAATCGGACTGGTAGTTCCAGAGATTAGCGCGTTTAAACAAACAAAAAAACAAAAAACTCTTCCGCTTTATTATATTAAGAATAGATAACTAAAGTCAATTAATAAAAACTACAATTTAATACAATACTTACAACTTAGCGGCTCAAACGACAGGAACAGTGGGTCAACATTCAAGTTCCCAACTCTGCCTTGTATTATCGTGTCCTTCACTATTCTCTCCCATTTCTCCTTATCGCTCTCCTCTTCTAACGTACTGTTAGAGATAGGGACAGCGCTATCTAGTGACCGGCTCGACTCCTCCAAGGAGTTAGAGTCGATGGACCTCAGTGTCAAGTCGGCGATTATCGCTTTAGTTTCGTTTCTAAAAATAAAACAAACATTATTTTATAAAAAAAAATCCACTCACCTCTCTCCACCCTAGGTGCATGGAGAATTTTTTTTATAGGATAAGGGTGACAAACGAGCACACAGTCTACCTGATGGTAAGTGGTTGCTGTGACCCATAGACATCTAAATTTATCCTCAATAAAGAATCAAAATGCAGATGCGTTGCAAGGGACTAAGATGGAATGCCTCCTCCAGTAAAAAAGGGTCTCCGGTTCTCTACGAATCATCTCTCTCATCATCTCATCATACGAAACACAGCAGCGATAAGATGCTATTTTACGCTGGTATTCTGTGAGAGCGTGATCCTTCCCTGGTCGAGCCGACCCATTCGGGCTACAAATATACCTACTACTAATATAGTTGCTGCATGGCTCTACCACGAATTATTGGCATATATGGACATTGGCATAAAATGTCATCGAGCAGCCTTGAATTCAATGTCAAAAAATTTAATTGGATTTTCTGACAAGAAATTTTTATAGCAGCTCGAAAATTTTCAGTCAGGAGTTTGGCGGTGTTTTACTCACGTGCCTCGGAAAGCACGTAAAGCCGTTGGTCCTGCGCCTGATCTCTCTCCGGTCGTGTCGGATTACCGTTCCATCGGACTATGAGAGTGAGGGAATAGAGAGTGCACCTGTGCTTACGCATACACTCGGGCACAATAATCATCTCCTTATTATTAAAAAAATATTATTAAAAAAATATATATACATACTGCATAAATCCATTAACAACGAGTCCCTTATATCCCTTAGTTCTGCTCAGCTCCCGTCCCAAAACGTCGACCACTTGGTTGCTGAGCTCCTCGAACTCCTTACTGCCGGCTGCCGGAGGTTTGAAGCTGTCTGCCAACCCCGTTATGCGAATGAGCATTGTGTATGCGACCTCTCCCGAGACGACAGCTTCTGTGGTCTCCTCTTCTTCAACTGGCTCTGAAAATTTTTAATATTAATAATTGTGATGTATAGCAGCAAGGGAGAGTTCACCACACCATATCATTATTGGGTGTCTTAAGAGGCGACAGAGCGAAATGAAACAAGTTTGAGCACAGGGTTCGGATAACGGTATATTTTTCGAAACGTTTTCGCCTTAAATACCTAAAAATCTTATTTGTTTCGTTAATGTTCGAACGGAATCATAATAAAAACGTTTACGAAGAGAACGAAATATTAAATCGTTTTTGTTTTATTGAACAAGAACGATTTAATATTTCGTTCTCTTCGAACGTTTTTAACCATTTTAAACCATTTTTTCTCATTTTTGGCCCTGCAATACGAAAGAAAAATACCTTATAGGTTTAAACTTGTCGAGGCACGTACTATTCATTTAGCTTCCTGCGGAATAAGCCGTTTCTTACGTTTTCACATTGCGTTCTCATTTCGTTTTCGTTCCGAACAAAATGTTATACAAGGAACCGCCCCAAAGGTTTCAAAAACGTTTTTTTTCATAGGAGAGGGGGCAGGTGAGCATGCGGCTCACCTGATGGTAAGTAACTACCGCCGCCCATGAACAACTGCAACACCAGGGGAACCAGGGGAATTGCAGATGCGTTGCCGGCCTTCTAACGTTATCTGCCGACTTCCAAAAAGGAGACGGTAGTCAATTCGACTGTATGTTTTTTTAATTTTTTTTTTTGTGTGTTACCTCATAACTCTTTACTGGGTGAACCGATTTCGATGATTCTTTTTTTTATTTGATAGCTGGTACTTCTCGTGTGGTCCCATATGAATTTGATCAAGGTCAGACCAATAGTTTTTGAGTTATTCTTAATAACTTATATTGAAGTCGGCAGTACAAAATTTTTAATTTTATAACCCTTTTATAAACACGTAACCAGTGGAAGAACGTCGATCCAGCTGATTAGATGCCCATTCTGCATCTACATATCCTGTAACAGTTAATGTAGTTCCCTTTTCATATACAATATTATAATCTATGGTTCTCTTTAAATACCTTAAGACTCGCTTAGCCGCTTTCCAATGTACATTCGAGTGACAATTATTTTTAATAACGTTTCCGAGCCTTGGTTTGGCAGCAGCTGCCTGATTACAATACAAACTAACGATTGCCAACCAGCCTTACAAGGGTGGCAACTATATTAGTAAATGTAAAATTATTTCGCTAACTACTAAGTAAAAAATACGGATTTATTTTTACGCGGATCATACCGCCTTCGTATTCACCATAGATTGCCTCATAGAGGGGATATTTGCCATAGTTGCCCCGCTTGGAAAGCTGGTTGGTAACCGTAGTTTTATTTTTAGAAATTTTAAAGAAGATTTTGCTGCCCATCTCCTGATTTGTTTTTTTTTTATAGGAGAGGGGGCAAACGAGCATGCGGCTCAATTGATGGTAAGTGACTACCGCCGCCCATGAACAACTGCAACACCAGGGAGGGAATTGCAAATGCGTTGCCGGCCTTTTAAAAAGGAGTACGCCCTTTTCTTGAAGGTCCCTAAGTCGTATCGGTCCGGAAAAATCGCTGATGGTAATCGATACCACAAGGAAGTCGTGCGAGGAAGAAAACATCTTCTAAATCGCACAGTGGTGGACCGCCAATCATCCAGATGGTGTGGATGGTATCGGGAGTTCTGCCGCGATGTGCGTTCGTGAAATTTGGCGGCTGGGATTAATCCGAACAATTCCTCAGAGCACTCCCCATGGTAGATGCGAAAGAAAATGCAAAGGGATGCAACATCTCTTCGCAGTGCCAATGAATCGAGCCGATCGGAAAGGGCTCGGTCGTCGACGATTCGAGCCGCTCTGCGCTGTCAAGTGGAAGGAGCTGGCACTGGGGAGCCCCTGCCCAGAGATGGGAACAGTATTCCATATGAGGCCGAACCTGCGCCTGAAAAAGTTGCAGGCGGTGTGCCGGCATGAAATACTGTCCCACTCTGCTGAGCACGCCAAGCTTTTTAGAGGCCAATTTGGCCTTCTCTTCCAAGTGACCACGAAACTGCACGTCACTTGATATGTCGACTCCGAGGATTCCGATACTGGCTGAGACAAGAAGGGGAGTGCCTTGAAACTGAGGAGATACGACAAAGGGGTTCTTTTTAGCGATAAACGCGCAAACTTGTGTCTTCTGAGGATTAAACTGGACTAGATTTAGTCGCCCCCAATCCGAGACTGTTCAGCAAAGACTCGACTTCAGACACAAGTTTGTTCCGGTACTCAGCGACGTTTTCCCGAGAAATATTGCCACGGCCGGTGTATAGAGCATCACAAGAGCTGTCATCCGCATAGCAATGAATGTTACCAGTTAGCAACATATCATTGATATGCAGAAGAAACAGCGTTGGTGATAGCACACAGCCTTGTGGAACACCAGCGTTAATAGGCTTGTAGTCAGAGCATGCACCGTCTACAACGACCTAGATGCTCCGATCTGCAATTAAGCTGGTGATCCAATTGCACAATTTCTCGGGAAGCCCATAGGAAGGGAGCTTCGAAAGAAGCGCTTTGTGCCAAACCCGATCGAAGGCCTTCGCAATGTCCAGCCTAACGGCCAACGCCTCCCCCTTATACTCTACTGCCTCCGCCCATCTATGGGTCAGGTAGACCAGAAGATCACCAGCTGATCGACCACGACGAAAACCGTATTCACAACCGGGGTCACTAATCAGCTGGTGATCCTCAAGATACCGGATGGCAGTTAATAATGGATTCCATTATTTTGGAGAACAAGGGATGATGATTTTTTAGGGATCGGGTAGACAAAAGCTGACTTCCATGAATTCGGGACTACGCCTTGGGAGTAGGAGTACCGGAAAAGACGCGTTAGGATCGGTGCCAACTCCGGAGCACACGTCCTCAGCACAATTGGGGGGATTCCGTCCACTCGACTTGTAGATGTCAAGGGAGAGGAGTGCTTTGCGAACCGAGCGCTGTGAGAACAGCACATCCGGTATGGAGCACTCACACCGCGGGATGGTCGGCGGTGTTTTCCCCCCGTCATCAAGAGTCGAGTTGGACGCAAAAAGGGAGCCTAAAAGGTCGGCTTTGTCTTATGCGGCTTGGGCCAGTGAGTCGTCCTCCCTGTGCAGAGATGGTAGTGATGGCTTACAGAAATTCTCTTGGACAGCCTTGGCGAGAGACCAGAATGCACCGGTTCCCGAAGGAAGGCGAACTAGTTTCTCGCCAATTCTGCCTATGTGCTCTGACTTTGCCTTGGCAATAACTCTTTTGAAGGACGTGGAGGCGAAGTTATACTTCTGTTTTAGTGTGCTGGTGTCTACATCCCGAGTCGCCGAAGCCGCAGCCCAGGCTTGATAACACTCCTGCTTACTGCGTAATGCAGTCTTACAGGAGCGACCAAACCAAGGCTGAGATCTGCCTCCGATGTGTACCACAGATGATGGAATAAATAGTTCCATTCCCTGTAGCACCCCATAAGTGACAGAGTCAGTAACAGCGCTGGGATCTTCCGGCGAGTAGCAAACCCACCCCCATGGGTAGGATACAAAGAAAGACCGCATTCCGTCCCAATCCGCCGACCTATAATGCCAAACACGGCGACAACCTGCAGAACGCAACCGCGAAGGGAGCATGAGTGGCACCATACTCTGGATCAGACAATGGTCCGAAGAGCCGAGAGGGGCATCGACGGAAACCTGATATCCGTCCGGATGAGAGGTCAGCAGAAGGTCAAACAGGGAAGGTGTATGATCCTCAACATCTGGAATCCGCATAGGCGAAGTAACAAGTTGTGTCAGACCATATGCCAAGGCAAAGTCATAAACAGATCTCCCCGCACGATCGGTTCAACGTGAACCGAGCCATTCGGCATGGTGGGCGTTAAAATCGCCAAGGATCACGATCTCTGCGGATGGGACCTGTTGTAGCAAGGAATCTGTAGCCATTTGGACGTGGTCGATGAGTCGGTCTGTTTCGGCATTACCGCTATGGGACCTATAGAGGCACCCGTAGACGCCCGTATGGTCGTCGCTGTCTACGCGTAGCCAAAGGATGGACAGGTCCCTATGTCACTTCTTACGACACCCACGGGATGATATTGTTGCGCACCACTATTAATGTCTTGTACATGGCAACACTAGTTACCACTAGCGCTGTCTAGTATCGAGTAGCAAAATTAGGAGAGTCAAGATCCTTCTAGAAATTACGATACCGGTATGTACTCGAACATTCTAGATATTTCTTATCTATCTATCTATTCTCTATCTGAGGCCCTATATAAGGCCGGTATAGACCACGACCGAAGCAATATTGAATTGGCGATACAAGCGAATACTTCGAAGCGATATAACTGCGAACTAAAGTGATCAGTAGTACAATTGTGTTTTATTATTAGTGTAGTTTTAAATTGTAATTAGTGTTCTGTAATTTAAGTGTCAATTTTGGTAATTCAATCGGCAGTTTTTAATTGTCTCGAACCCCAAGCTCGTAACAATATGATACCACATAACACTACACGGTAAACGCGTATCTTATTTTTTTTTAAAGGATAAGGGTGACAAACGATCACACAGTCCACCTGATGGTAAGTGGTTGCTGCGGCCCATAGACATCTACATCTATCATCTATTACAAATCAAAATGTAGATGCGTTGTCACCCGTGAGGACTAAGATGGAATGCCTCATTTCTAGTAAAAAGGGCCTCCGGCCACCTGCACTCACCAAGCGGAACGCAGAGGTAAACCCCTACTTCACGCTGGTTTTCTGTGAGGTCGTGGTACCACTCCGGTTCGAGTCGGCCCATCCGTGCGACAGCAAAAGCTGCCGCGTGGCTCTACCACTGTTAAGATTCTTAGCTTAATATTTAACATCTTTAATTTTACTACATGATATTTCTGAAATTTTCTATAGTCACCTCTTACGAAACCCATGGTACTACATGGGATGATGGGTTCTAGTACACCACCACCAAACGATACTTACAGGGTTAAGTTACTCACCTGGACCGCATGGCTTTATGCAGACTCTTTCTTCAGTGACGAAAGGCACTTGTTGATGTTTGCTCATCCGTTTGTTGACGGGATCGAACCCGCCACCTTGCGTTACGAACATTATGTACAGGCATTGCGTATCCGTGAACGCGAGATCCTGAAAAATTGTTTATTACATCAATTCATAAAGGGACGTTTGCTTATTGGCGACTGCTTTAGGCGCCATCTATGTGTGTAATTACGCGTGTACTGTTAGATCACAATAAAAACTGATTAAATACTCTTATTTTTTCTTTGTAATGGACTCGTACTGATGTACGCCAGTGTCAAGTCATAAAAAACATGTTTGCAGTTCACACGCAGTAGAAGTAAAACCTTTAGAAAATTAAACTTCGAGAGAGTGAGACGAATGCAGACTACCTGGAGTAGTATAATTGTTGGGTACAAATAAATAAAATATAAATAAATTTATTCTATACTAGCTGTGCCCGCGCCGTAGCTCGCGTATATAGGTTTTACTTAAAGAATTTGACGTTTAGGTAAGAGAATATTAAAAGATTTATATCATTACTGTATGAATAAGTGGCACCAAAATAAATCGTTATGCTCAAAGTTCTGAGTCGTTTGTGATAGAACTTCTGTGTAAACGACGTTAGAAGTAGACAGCCGGGGCGTACAGAAAAATGTTACGGGAGCTACTAACGCGGGAAAAAGCAACATAGAGTTGGCCATTTGCAAAACAGTCAGTACTGAGGTCCACTCCTGCAACGCGTAAAGTTTGACCTTGCGCTTTATTTACGGTCATCGGTCATCACATAACACACGCTGACTGGGAATGGGAAGTGGGAACAGAACGCGCTTAGAACTGAAAGGAAAGTTATTTGATATAAGGTGGATTCTTGGTATAAAACAACATCATGACATATTGTTTTTGATGCAATTTTGATACGTTTAGCTTGGGCGTACGTACCTTTTTTCTGATATCTGTTTTGATGATGTTTGTGCTGTTAGCTTACACCCTACACGGCTCTTACAGCTTGAATGGACTCGTTAACGTACAACGCCATCTATTACGTTCTTCGTGGAAGACATCCATTTTTAATTTAAGGAAAACATATTTTTTGTTTACTGTGTTTAAAGTATAAATATATTATAATAAAACGTTTTTTTTATAAAAAGGAATCATTTTATTACTATTTCTGAGGTTTAGGCGCCATAAAGTCTTTAAAAAAATCGAACCTACATTTCAAAATAATAATCAAAACTTTCGATAGTATTAACCAATTTTAATAAAACAAAGTTAATCTTTGAACTGGATGATACGCTTTATGATTTCCTAAACAATTTCTTTGAAAAAAATATGTTTACTTAAGACGTGATGCGTTCATAAACAAACAGACAGACAGACAATTCTAAAAATTATAAAAATGTACTTATTTAATGAGTTTCAGTCTCCATAATGATTTTAGTCACAAATTAATATACTATACAATGTACAGAATCAGACACAGCATGTGATTACCGCATGTATAGAGATATAAGGATAGATGGCGCTGTTAAAATCAATTCTAAAAATAAAAGAGATTAATTGACGCGATTGATACAATAAAAAAACTTAAAAGAACTTATAAATCAGGCCTACATCGTAAGCAAGAAAGAAAGTTTGATCCTCGCCGAAACGAACGAAATTGTTAATAGCTGTTTTAAAATTTGATTTACCATGTAGAGTACTCGGCGGTAAAGAATAAATGACATTGTCAATACACAGTAGGGCAGCGAGTAATTTAAAGATTAACAGCAAATATAAAAAAAAGTCATTTACAGAAAAAAAACCACAACCTGCCTTCTTGCATGACATTTGTGCAACACCACCATCTATCGATGAAATGGGTTAACTATTGTACTTTAGATTTACATAATAAGGTTAATATATTTATTACGTTCTTTATGCAATACTTTTGTTTACTGCGTTTTAGATATAATTTCATCATTATAGAACATTATTTTACATCATTTAATTATGTTATGATTTATAATATGATATTAGTTTAAAATGTACTTGATGACTCAACAAACGCCACCATTGAACAAATTCGTACCTATACTTTGTAGCCATACTTCAGAATATTTATCATAACTTTTGATGGAATGAACTAATTTTAATGAAATAAAGACTAAATGTAACCTGAAGATACACGTTATAAATTCTTTAACGATTCTTCTGATATAAATTGGTACTTTATACGTGATACGTTAACAAACAAACAGACAGACAGACAGACAGACAGACAGACAGAAAATTCTAAAAATGGTAGAAATGTATTTAATTACTTATTTTTAGTACCACTCAATCGCTTTTATTATATAAATCTAAAATGTACAGACATCGGCTATTTACATTTTTATTATATGTATAGATAAAAAACATATGATCAGCATGAGAACAGCAGCATAAGTAATGAGAGGTGATAATGTTTATATTCATCACTTTTGTTACTGGGAACTTAACTAAAAATATTTAAATTAATGTTTCTATTAAAAACTAACTGTTCCCCGCGACTTCGCCCGCGCGTAATTTAGTACGATTGGTTTCAATTTTTTGCGCGGAACCCTAATTATTTTCTAAAATAAAAGTTACCTAAGTTACTTCTTATAACATCAGATATCTGCTAGTGAAAGTCCGGTCTAAATCGGTCCAGCCATTCCGGAGATTAGCCGGAACAAACAAACAGACGACAGACAGACAGACAGACAGACAGACAGGCAGGCAGACAGAAAGACAGACAGACAAAAATTTTAAAAATCGTGTTTTTGTTATAATTACCGTATATGCTTTCATATGTACAATAAAAAGCTTTTATTTCGACATTACAAACAGACACTTCAATTTTATTTATTTGTATAGATGTATAGATAATGTTTTTTCTTGTTTTTTTTTTTATAATTAATATTTACATGTTGGGTTATTCAACCACCTGCTTTGCTATTTAGTGCTAAAGAAGTTAGAGATACACATGAAATAAAATAATGTCTCAGAAATAAAAGAACGAGAACGCTAAGCCTCCTTGAATATCCATAACAGGCTTTCAAGTGACTTTATATGGCTGTAGAACGTGTCTTTAGTTTTGTATATTACAAAAAATGAAATTGATTTAAGAACTTTCTCTTTTTTAAATTCAGTTAAATATACAAAATAGTACCTAACTGTTTTGCGGACCGATGTAGATTTTGACGTACATAAGGACTTTAAAAGAGTTTTGGCGGGAACTTGACCGGCGGCGGTTTGCTGCTCCTGACGTCCTGTTTTATTGTTTAAATAATAGTTTAAAGTGGACTTTGATATGTAAAAGTGGTGCGATTTTGTGTATTAAGTGTCTGCGCATGTGAACTATTTGTGAAAACTGTGAAACAAGTGCTCTGATAGTGATGTGATTCTCAAAATAATGTGCCTGTCTGCTTAGGCGCCTTGAGATACCATCGCCAACCGTCAGCTGTCTGCTGGCTCAAGTTGCCGTCAAAATCTCCCAAGGGCTGCACAATGTGACGCATCAACATATTGTGAAGCAGTATACTATGAAGAATAATTATTATAATATAATATTGTAACTTTAGGCTCAGAAGGGCTAGATCCCAGAGCCATAAAGCCAGTTATTAAGAAGAAGAAGGACTTTAAAAAACACGTGTGCAGTAGACGCGGTAGGTTTAATGAACCTTTAGAAAAGAAGACCGATATAAAAGGATACACTGTAACAGTGTAATTAGTGTATTCTATCTCATTCTCCTACATGCTAAATTCTGTGGATGTATGTTTCTCTTTTTAAACCCCGAAGAAAACAGAGGGGTATTATTTTATTATGTTTGTAGTGTGAAGGTATCTGTGTATCAGTGTTTCTGTGTATTTGTGTGTATCTGTTTGTGACGTCATAGCTCCTGAACGGATAAAATGATTTACATTAAGTTTTTTCATTCGAAAGGTGTCGTAATCGAGTGCTATGATGAGTCTTAGCTATATTCCAAGAAAATCTGTTCAGCCGTTTGAAGATCACCAGCTCTTTTGTTTCGGGTTTATTTTTTTACTTTTTTTATTTAATTACGTTATTAGTGACGCTTTTTTATTTCATCGAGTTTCAAATCACAATAATTCTAAAGAAGTTTTTACTTCAAAAAGTTTTGAATTTGTTCAAAACACATTACCTGCGTATCTCCCGTGTCCCTCTTCCTCACAAAAGTGATTGTAGTGTACCCATCCTCCAAACTAACGGTTTGCTTGCTGAGGTCCTGCCTGGAGTCCAGCTTTGGCATGGAGTATCCGCTTAGCCAAGCGTCTGTTACGAAGGGACGCCCAGATCGAGGATCCACCCAACCAATCACAGCATCCGTTTGCGACTGCCACCAAAGACAAATTGATTTATGCATATGTACATAATACATATAATTGATATCTATGTGAGAATAAATATTAATTGAATTGAAACACAGAGGAGCGCGCGTACACGTACTTGTTGCCCATAAATCACATTCAATTTGGGATAATTTGAATTAGAAGTTGAAACCTTATTTATTCGTATTTTTAAAACCTGCAATAACGGTATATCATTATGTATTTATATATTTGAACCTAAATATAAAATTTGCATACTCTTTGAAAAATAAACCCTGTATGTATATGTAAATAAGAGCTGTATTGATTCAAACCTGCAACGATTTTTGAAATGCTTACGGACTTTATTTTAAAAAACGAACTTGTTAGAAGCCTTTTTAAATTCCCATGCTAGAAACAGCAAAATCAATGATACAGTCAGACATTAGACATTACATAGAACTCACCATCTTCTTATTATTGCTAAAGCCGATGCCTGACCAAAGCTTGCTATATTTGGTCTTAATGGTGAACTTAATGGAGTCCTTGCCGCGTTTGAGACCGAGATACTCCCAGGAGGCGTGGTAGTCGCAAGTGTTGTTCTTGGGGTCACAGTCTGCCGGCAGCTTCCACTGACCACCGCATTTATCCCCCTCTAAAGGCAGGAGTCCTCCCATAGACGATGTTTTAGTTTCCTCTGGAATTGACGGTAAAATAAACATTTACTTTTAAGAGTCACGCTGCAGCTATATTATGGTTGTAGCATGAATGGGTCGGGGAAGAACCACGCTCTCACAGAATACCGGCGTAAAATAGCAGCTTAATGCTGCTGTGTTTCGTATGGTGACACTTTTTACAGGATACACATCTTCGTCGTCAGGGATGATAAATATTCGCCATGTTTGCCAGGCAGTATATAATTTTAATAGTAGGGGAGGACCTAGATAGACTCCTAGACACGAAATTAGTCCTACCACCTAGAAACTAAAATCAAAAGTGAAACTCACCGAAGAAGTTGATCGTCGTGACACCCCTCTGCCCATGTCCGTGGTATTTAAGTTCGTCCGGCCTGTAAAAGTCGCCTTTCGGAGACTTTTCTTGACCATGCGCCCATATTACGTGCATGAGGTCATCTACTAACGAGTGATCAGTCGGTTCCTTGGCCTAAGAACATTTTAGACAATGTTTAAAATTAACCAAAGCAGACGACAATATTTGACATGAAACTTTATTTTATATGTTATTTTAGTCTTTAAAACATTTAATGTGTAAAAACATATGAATAATTTATAACAAAGGGTTGTCTAAGGGTACATTATGGGTCCACTTCTATATAAGAAGGATAAAGTACAATTAAAACTAATTACACGTAAAAAATATACTGAATGGAATTCTTTCAAGGGGTTAATTTTCACTACAAAAATCAACATAGAAATATTAATTCTTCTAATCTACATATAACTACAAGTACCAAAGTAGCTTTCGAATTTTGCGCGGTAAGCCGCATACTTCAGGTGATTATGACTATAGTCGACCGTAAAAATGATCACCAACTATTTCGACACCAGCATGTAGATAAAGTTCCGATCAAAATTTTCAGTCAAAATGAACTGGCGATGTTTATCAACCAAAACGATTTTTTCAGCTTTTGCAGTAACTTGATTAGCGACTATAGCAAAGAGTATCGATCTGTGTAAACCTTACTTTAGTTTTTCCTTTGTGTACCTTAATTTTTCTCCTGAACATAATAGTTGTGACGCCATTTTCTTCGAATCCCGAAGCCGCAGTAACATCATCGTGACCGCCCCAGAAAGTATCCACTCTAGGAGTTGATCTACAAAATGAAAACAATAAAACAGATAATACAAAATTTGCATAACCTCAATTTCAATTTTATGCAATGCTATTGTTGAAAACTTAATCTGTTGGGTGTTGAAAATATTGTACGATTCTCGAACATAAAACGATACGATGTTTTTTGTTATGTAGCAACATTCGTACTTCTATTACCTACGTCCTACCTTTTTTTACCACCGACGAAAACAGAGGGGTGTTATATGTTTGTAGTGGGTATCTGTGTATCTGTTTGTCTATCTGTGGAACTTGTGTCTATGTGTGTGTCAAATTATGGAGGAAGTTTTTGCAAAGCTTAATAAACAGAATAAATCTGTTGTAATATGTGGAGACTTTAATATCAATCTCCTAGAAGCTTCCTCAATCAATATTAAATTTAGATCATTGTTTAAATCATATGGTCTTTTTAATTTATTTTTAGAGCCAACGCGTATTGCTCAATCTAGTGCAACATGTATAGATAACATTTTTACAAATGTGAAGCACTTACATAAATGTATAATTCAAAAATTAAGTTCTGATCACTGTGGACAGGTAGTTTCGTTACCTTATGTTCACAAAAAGCAAGTAAATGAGAAAGTTGTGTTTGTTCCAGTAAATGCACGTCGCTTGGAGAAATTTAGAAGTAACATAGTGAAAAAACTTCCATCACTTTCATATCAAAATGATCCAAATTTTTTGTATGGAACATTATTTAAGCTTATTTGCAATTAATTTAATAATACTTTTACTTCTAAAACATTCTCCTTGAACAGTCGGAAGTCATTTAATGAATGGGCGACAGTAGGAGTCCATAATAGCAGACATAGGTTATATGATCTTTACCATGAAAGGTCATATAATCATAGCGTCGAATTTAGGGAATATGTGAAAAAACATTTAAAAGAGTGTGCTCCACAGCCAATTCTTTGCATTTGAGCAACAAAATTAAGACGGCTTCTAATAAAATTAAAATGACGTGGAGTATAATTAATAGCGAAACTGGTAAGATCAACTCTCGCAATTCAAACTACCAGTTAAGTGTTAGTAACAAATTAACCGAATCAGATCAGGATGTTGCAATGGTTTTTGAGAAATATTTTACTGATATTCCGATATTAACCACTAAGTCACTGAATTCTTCTCCTGCGGTCGCCGAATCATTACTTAAACAAAATGCAAATGCGTGTACAAAGAATTTTGCATTTCATAAAGTATCATCAAAAGATATTGTAAAATATTTTAAAACTATTGATGTTAAGAAAACTGCGGATCTGTGGGGGATTTCCGTTAAAGTTATTGCGTCTATAATAGATACAATCGCGCCTCATTTAGCTATTATTTTTAATACTAGTGTCGAATCTGGTGTGTTTCCTGATTTAATGAAGTATAGTAAAGTAATACCTTTATTTAAATCTGGTAGTACATTAGACCCTACCAATTTTAGAGCTATTTCTGTACTACCAACACTTAGTAAGATTTTTGAAAAAAATATTCTTGATCAAATGTTAAATTTCTTTAATATAAATAATTTACTTCATAAAAATCAATTTGGTTTCACAAGAAGTTGCTGGTCAACTGATGCCGGTGTTGAGCTGATTAAATATATATTTAATGCATGGGAGAATTCACAGGATGCTTTGGGTATATTTTGTGACCTATCCAAAGCCTTCGATTGTGTTCACCATGAAACATTAATCAGGAAACTTCAACACTACGGTGTAAGAAGTGATGCTCTTAAAAAAGTTGTCATTAACAGTATGAGTTCTTCCGGGTCGATGGTACAAATGGGCATGCTTCAAGGCTCAATTCTCGGCCCCTTTCTGTTTCTTGTATAAATTAATGACTTACCTTACATAGTAGGAGATAACCATGATATAGTATTATTTGCAGATGACACTTCTTTAATTTTCAAATTAAGTCGACAATTGCTAAAATATGACGAAGTAAATAATGCTATATCTAAATTAGTAAATTGGTTCAATGTTAATAATTTGCATTTAAATGGCACTAAAACGAAATGTATGAAATTTATGACTCCAAATGTCAAACAATTAAATACTAATGTAATTTTAAATGGGGAGAAACTAAGTCTTGTAGATACCACCATTTTTCTTGAAATCACACTAGACGCGAAGCTTCGATGGGGCCCCCATATATCAAAACTAGCAAGCAGACTTAGTTCTGCAGCATATGCCGTAAAAAAGATTAGAAGTCTAACTAGTGTTGAAACAGCTAGACTAGTTTACTTTAGCTATTTCCATAGCATAATGTCGTATGGTATTTTGCTATGGGGACACGCAGCTGACACTGAAATTATATTTGTTTTACAGAAGAGGGCCATAAGAGCAATTTATGATTTAAAGCCTAAAGAGTCGCTGCGACAAAAATTTAAGGAAATTAATACGAGTATATTAATTTTGGCCTCTCAATACATTTATGAAAATGTAATGTACGTACAAAAAACTAAAAGTAGTTTTACAAAAATAAGTGATATTCATTCTGTAAATACTAGGAACAGACACAAGCTAGTAGTACCAGTTACTCGACTCCATCGAGTCAGTAATTCATTCTTGGGGCGATGTATACGCTTTTACAACAAAATTCCAGAAAATATACAAAGTTTGACCTGTTCAAAGTTCAAAAACTTTATTAAACTAAGTTTGTATAAAAAGGGTTATTATAATATTAATGAATTTATAGATGATATGATTAAAAAAAAAAAGTTCCGCTGGGTTTCTTGCTGGTTCTTCCCAAGACAGAGGTTTTTTTTTCCGAACCAGTAGTAACCATACAAAAGAGTGACTTTCAATAAGTATTATTTATAATCTATATTGAATAAAAAAGTTTCTGTTTCTGTTTCTGTTTCTGTGGCATCATAGCTCCTGAACGGATGAACCGATTTTCATAAGGTTTCTTTCGTTTGAAAGGTGTCTTAATCTAGAGTGTTAGATATAGTTATATATAGCTATATTTCAAGAAAATCTGTTCAGCCTTTTGACGATACCAGCTCTTTTTATTTGGTGGGTTTTTAAAATTTTTAATTTAAATTATTGTATTACTTGGGTGGAGGTGCGTGCTAATAGTAACCGAAGAACAATACAGTCCATTCATTGTTTGTGTGTCATTTAGACCAGGCACCTAACAAATACATCAAAACGCTGCATAATGGAAATATTTGACAACTATGAATTATTTTAAAAAAAATCAGTTTCGATAATTTCAGTGTTCAGTGGACTATTCGAAGACTGGATAGTTTCATCACGTAATTGTAGATTTTCTTTAGAATTCAACGGAACCGACACTACATCGATCATGATTTAAAACTGATAATTATGTAATGTTATGAGTATATGTGTAAGGTTATTATTTTTTTTTGTTAATATTAAATTGTAGTGGTGGCGTTAGTGAATCCACTACCCCAAATGGGTTTCGTAAGAAGTGATAAAAATAAACTGTAACAGGATATGTATACGTGGTAGTGCCACGCCGTGGATATATTATGGTTGTAGCACGAACGGGTCGACTTGACCGGGGATCGAGGACCAGGCTCTTACAGAATACCAGCGTAAAATAGGTGTTTCGTATGGTAAGTGTAGAGAACCGGAGTCACTTTTACTGGATATGAGGCATTCCATCTTAGTACTCACGGGTGACAACGCATCTGCATTTTGATTCTTAATCCAGGATAAATGTAGATATGTCTGTGACCCACAACATCCACTTACCATCACGTTATCTGTGTGCTCGTTTGTCACCCTTATTATATAAAAAAGCAACAGCACCTTCGTGATAACAATTCAATAACAATAAAACTGCGGTTGCCAACCCGTCAGTAGCAACAATGGAAAATATCCCACATGAAACAACCTACGGAGGTCTACGTACTACAGTAGAGTTTTGGTGGGCTAATAAAAAGAAAGAGTGAATTAGAGTAATTTTACCTGTCTCTTGTATAGTAATCTAGAACTCGATGGTAATTCCCTCTAGCTGTTCCAATGACCAAGTCAGTACAGTCCATGCCGTTAAAATCGAATTTAGGCGAATATTCGTGGTCTGGGAAGTAACCTAAAACATATGCAACATAACATTATGTAGGTGTAATATATATTGAAGTGTAATATCTTTCACACTCATTGAATTAGAAATTTTAGAGATACAAATATGTACACTTTTTTTCTCCAAACGTTTACTTAAAATACTAAAGTTTCCATAAAGTTGATTAGTACCCCTGATAGTAAACTTAATCATTCAGCGTCCAGGGAGATAAACAGGTCCAATAGGTAAAACAGTAATTTAAAAAGTCTACTACTTAAAAATGATTACTAAAAAAGAGACATTTTTTACCTCATTTTGCTCCCATAACTAAGACTAATCTAATGACACTGCATCCTAAAATTCATCAAGCTGTGTAGGCTGGAGATTGTGACTAAAAACATCGTAAAATTCCTTATGGACAAATGGGTAAAAAAAAATTCAATATAATTTAATTCATAAACCCTATGAAAACGCAAGAGAGCTGCATCACGCACGAACTCACGACCCTTACGAATTCCCTGCAATTTAAATGATATCAAACCTCTTTCAATTATTATAAAAGGTCTTTTTCTGCTTGTAATTACATATTTACAATTAACGTAAACTTACAATAATTAAATTTTTTACAATATTAAATACTATAATAATAATAAAAAAACTAAAACTAGAAACTTAATTATCATACAGTCCTCCTACTCCCCGCGGTATCGTGCCAAGAACGCTGTCTGCGTTTCTCCGCTGAATGGCTATACTTAGCCTGGGAGCGAGAAAAACAACCAGCCCTCTTATCACCAGCAGCAACGACCAGCCGCGGATGGAGTTCCTTTAGAAACTTTACCACTCGTGGACCCCACGGACCGATGGTCTCTACAGCAAATGGCTCAAATATATAGTCACCTCTCAGAGACATATTTGCGCCACTTACTCAGTTCAGCTGCCTCTGATGCCGCCCTGGCTCTAAATGAGATACCCCTGAGATGAGAGGCCGCCAGAGTGTCTACGCAGGTAGCATCCCACACTAGGGCTTTACCTATCTCCCAAGGGACCAATGTCATACCGTCGGGTCTCCTGCCATCGTGTCGAAATATTCCACAAGGCTCTAAAACCGAGGTATCATTTATAGAGACCTACTAGCACTTTTCTTTCATGAAAGTCCGTGGAGCCCAAACTTGTCGACGCTGCTACCACAGGGGCACTGATGGGGTTGACAATTAAATAGATTACAATATACATGTACATTAATAATTAGTTGAAACAGGAGAGAAAATTAAAAGAGGAGAACATTAGAAGTAATTATACACAGAAAGTAGCCGAAGAAGGAATCAAGAGGAGAAGAGGAAAGAAGGAGAACAGAAGACAGCTGGGACCTGAAAGAGCACAAACAAGCACATTAAAAGCAGAAGCTTCTAGAAACAGCAATTGCCTCATCTCGCCCTCGAGTTATGCAGTATTGTGTGTTATAAAGCGATGTATGAAAGCCGCCATATTACTTTGTATTTATATAGTATAACATTTATCTAAGAATATATCTGTTAGTTAAGTTAATTTAAAAACAACTGTTATTTAATTTATATTTTTTATGTTAGTATACATCCATTTTATTTTACATTACATATTGGAATCAAAAAATTAGTATTAATTAAAACCGGCAAGCAGACACGCAATAGAAGCCGGTAATATATACATTAATATTTTTTAGGATGATTATAAAATTTATTATGTATAAGGTGAATTAAATATTTATCATAAATTAAATATTAATGGACGATTAATTTATTATTATTAATAAATATTTGTGGTCCAATCTTTTAGTTTGCACTTTGCACTTATGTTTACCAGATATTTTTTTTTTCTGCCCTTACTGGTTCGTGGCGCCTTTTTTACTGTAAAAACTCATTGTTATAAGGTCATAAAACAGAAAGAAAGCAGGTGACAAGGCTTTTGTATGGAGAAAAGACCACCCGCATTTCCTCTTAAGGTTTCAAAATGTAAAAAGGAATAATAGAATAGAAATAATAAAATACAACAGAATTCAAAAATTACTTTAATTTTTGAGTTTTTTTAAACAAGTGTTATCAGTATCTTGGATCATGCAACGGCAACTTCATACTTTAACCCCTATTAATATTTAATTTTAAAATGAGACACATAAATATAGTTATTATACATATACATATATTATAGCGATATGAAAAAATATATACCTATACATAATACATATATGACATGATACATATGCGAAGCTGGCACAATACCTGATTCTTCTTTGAGTCCCTTCACTAGCAGGCTCTCCACTTCCCCTTCCGCGTTAGCTTCTGGTTCGGATTCGGGTTCCGGAGCGGATTCTGGTTCGGAAGTTGGTTCTGGGGAGGGTTCTGGTTCTGATTTAGGTTCTGGTGAAGGTTCCGGTTCAGATTTCGGTTCTGGAGATGGTTCAGGTTCTGATTTAGGTTCTGGGAATGGTTCAGGTTCAGATTTAGGCTCTGAGGAGGGTTCCGGTTCAGATTCAGGTTTTGGGGAAGGTTCGGGTTCAGATTTAGGTTCAGGGGAAGGTTCCGGTTCAGATTTGGGTTCTGGCGAAGGTTCCGGTTCAGATTTGGGTTCTGGTTTTGATTCTGGTTCAGATTTGGGTTCTGAGGAAGGTTCTGGTTCTGATTTCGGTTCGGATGTGGGTTCAGGCTCTGGCTCGGATTTAGGCTCTGGAGTTGGTTCGGGAGTTGATTCGAATGTCGGTTGTGGAGTCGCTTTGGGTCCAACCGATACGGGTTTATTATTTGATTGTGAGAGTTGCTTGGATTTGGGTACGAATTTGGACCTAGTTTTCGGTTTGGGAGAAGATTTTGGTTCTAACTTTGATTCTACAGTCGGTTCCGGTTCGGAACTCGGTTCCGGTTCTGGAGTAGATATGGGTTCGGGTATTGGGGAGTTCTGAGTTTTTGACGTATCGGTATCTGCAAAAACAACACACCATGCAGAAATTATACTTACATTAGTTCAATTTACAGTGTCAAGTTAGTGTCTTGGAGACAATAAGGGTGAGTATGGTGTGCTTCCGTGCTGGTACCTACTGCCTGTGTTTGTTTGTTAGCACGGGTGTGGTTATTTTGTGCTGTATGTGCATTTATATAAACAGTACTTACGGTTAGGTTCCTGTGCGGCTCTCTTTTTTCTACCTGAAAATTGGAGGTAATTGTTTACACACAGTGTCCAGTTTAAGTCAACATAAAATATATCTAATGTATGAATGTATGAAACATATTTTGAAAATATTTGTCTAGGCGACAATGAGTATGTCGATAAGATCATATGACTTAGATGGCGGAATAACCAACTTGTTGAAGTGGCTTAACAATGAGTTGCAGCGCTAAGTTGCGGTTTCGAATCTCGCATCTTGTATGGCCTACAAATAATTGTTCCGGGTCTGAATGTTTATCCTAGTGAAATTTATGTATGTAAACCCCACGATAAAAGAGAAAATCCTAGTGTGCAGGTTACGTTTTATCTAAATACCCAGTCCGGCAACAAGAAGCTTCCACGGTTCGTTTCGTTGTTTTTAAACGTTACCCCCACACTAGGATTTTCTCCTGTATCGTGGAGGCAGTTTACAAACATCCAGACCCGGAACAATTATTTGTAGGCCACACACAAATACTTGTTCCGTGCGGGATTCGAACCAGCGGCAACCAAGCGCAACAACTCATTGATAAGCCACTGCGCCACGGAGCCGTCTAATCTAAGCCGGTGCTTATCTGGTTCTCTTTACAACGGGGAAGCAATGTCTAAGAGCGAACTTTTACGAGCTGATCAAGACATGAAGGGCAACGGGAAGCAAGATCACGGGTGGTATTAAAAGCAGTCCTAAACATAGGCCCTATAGATTTCCTCAGATGAGTCTATTAAAGACCATCGCTGAACATAGGCCCCACTAATAGATTGCCTCATAGGTGGGATATTTGCCATAGTTGCCACGCTTGGCAAGAGGGTTGGCAACCTTTATTTTTTAATTTTAGTCGTTATTAGGCAAACGCTGCTGCCCATTTCCTGATTTGTTTCCCTCTGTTCCCTCTTACGACACCCACGGGATGATATTGGGTACTACCCAATGGTGTAAGAATATCCACTACCCAATGGGTAGTGGATATTCTTACACCACCCCTACACGGTAAGTAAAATAAGTGGACTGTTAAGGGCTGCTAAATAAGAAAGTGCTTCTATACTGTAATAATACGAAATATTATGAAATTTAACTCTCTTGTATATTATGAAATTTAAATTCTAATTTCAAATTGATGTCGTACTCTAACTTACCCTTAGAACTGGAGACTTTGTAAGAGATACTGGTCTTGACAGTGACGTCGTTGCCCAAGTTGCTAAAGTCCAGTCCATCCATGGAATGTAGGGCGACCCGCTTGTTTCTACTGTCGTTCATCATAGTATCATTGGAGGCGACTTTGCTACTAGTCTTCGGTTCAGACTTTGGTTCTGGTTTGGAATTCGGTTCCGGTTCGGAAATTGGTTCTGGTTCTGGTTCGGAACTTGGTTCTGGTTCCGGTTCTGAAGCCGGTTCCGGTTCTGGCTCTGAAGTGGGTTCCGGTTCGGGTTCCGCTTTCGGCGCTGTCTCGGCATTTGGTTCGGCGGTGGATTCGGGCTCGGACTTCGGCTCCGGACTTTTATCCAGTTCAGCTTTAGGTTCCGGCTCCGGTAACGGCTCCGGTTTCTGAGTGCTTGCTGTTTACATTATATACAAATATTTTTTAATACTTTTTTTTATAGGGTAAGGGTGACAAAAGAACACAGTGCACCAGAATATAAATGTAATCTGTGGCCCTTAGACATCTACATCTATCCTCAATTAAGGATCAAATTGCAGATACGTTGACACCCCTGAGGACTAAGATGGAATGCCTTATTTCCAGTAAATAGGCTCTTCAGTTCTTTACACTCTTTTTTACGTGGTAGAGTCATGCTGCAGCTATATTTTGGTTGCAGCATGAATGGGTCGACTTGTCCGGGGTGGGACCACGCTCTCAGGGAATACCGGCGTAAAATAGTTAACGCTGCTTTGTTTCGTATGGTGAGTGTAAAGAACCGGAGACGCTTTTTACTGGAAACAAGGTATGTCATCTCAGTCCTCAGTGGGTGACAACGCATCTGTATTATGATTCTTAATTGAGGATAAATGTAGATGTGGATGGGCAACACCACAGCATCCACTTACCGTCAGGTGGACTGTGTGCTCGTTTGTCAGCCTTACTCTATAAAAAAGAAAACATGCGTGAGTGTCATGGAACACTCGGTTGGTACGAAGTTCATTTCGTAGTAGGAATATTATTATTGATAAACGTATTATATTATTGATTAACAAATACAAATAAATGAATTACTAGCGTCTATTAAAATGAAGCGTCTTTTAAAATAATATTTCTTTCATGGCAAGATAAGAAAAAGTGCGAGGGAGATGGATATTATTCCATCTCGCTCGCACTATAGAAAGGGGGTCGTGACGGAAAAATCTTACACTTTTTCACGCCTAGCCTCCATCCACCAAATTCATAACGTGCGATAAGGAACTTCGTTCCAAAAGAGAAAAAACGCTACGCTGGTATTTTGTGACAGAGTAATCCTTGAACTCTACTTAGACCACTTAAAAGAGTTGTAAAACGTTGTTTTCTCATTTCAGGTTATCCGACCTTTGGAAAGCCACAATTTTTGTATTGATTGATTGGTATGAACAAAAAGATTGGGTGGAATACTCCTCCATTCTACATTATATCAATAGTAACCCATTTCAACTTTAACTAGGTGGTATAACTGTTATCTATTTCTACCTATAATGCTTGCCCTCTTGGTTTCCCGTCTATAGGGTAAAGAGAATCAAATTACAGGCATTCATACGTATTTTATACGTGGTAGAGTCATGCTGCAGCTATATTAGTAGTATAGTTGTAGCACGAATGGGTCGGCTCGACCGGGGAAGGACCACGCTCTCACAGAATACCTTACTTATATATATACCTTAATGCTGCTGTGTTTCGTATGATGAGTGTAGAGAACCGGAGACCCATTTTACTGGAAACGAGGCATTCCATCTTAGCTCTCACGGGTGACAACGCATCTGCATTTTGATTCGCAAACGAGGATAGATGTAGATGTCTATGGGCCACAGCAACCACTTACCATCAAGTGGACTGTGTGCTCGTTTGTCACCCTATCATATAAAAAAATCATACTTAGTCCTCAGCAGTGACAACGCATCTGACACCTTCTTTGTTTGAAATTTGTTTCTGGTGTCCGTGGGCTGTAGTAGGCACTTACTAACAGGTGGTTGTAAGTTCGTTTGTCACTTCGGTTTTATAAAAAAAAAAAAGTAAATAGACTAATAACTTACTGGATTGATCAGGAGGCGGTCCAAGCACCGGGAAGTTCTTGCATTGCTTGGTCAAGCCCCGAGGTCTCCAGCCGATACCTGGTGGGAGTTAAATTTGCAAGACAATAAGATACATTTATAATTAAAAAATATAATATATACATCATAGTATTCAACTTCTATTATTTTCGACTGCCCCTTTGGTCTAGGGGTTGTAAACGGGTCTGCTGATTATGAGGTACCGAGTTCGAATCCTGCGTCGGGCAAAAAATTTATCTACCATACATTAACGTGGGCACTAATACAGCATTCTAAATTAGATGCCTGCTGAACACATATCCTAAATTCATAAAATGCTCAACCAACTCTTATTCTTATTTCACACAATGTTTTACTTTTTCAACCGACTTCAAAAAAGCGGAAGTTCTCAATTCGACTTAATTTTTTTATGCGTGACGAAGAACTCTTCTCTAGGTTTAAACAGTGGTAGAGCCACGCGGCAGCTTTTGCTGTCGCACGGATGGGCCGGCTCGAACCGGGGTGGTACCACGACCTCACAGAAAACCAGCGTGAAGTAGAGGTTTACCTCTGCGTTTCGCTTGGTGAGTGCAGGTGGCCGGAGGCCCTCTTTACTGGAAATGAGGCATTCCATCTTAGTCCTCACGGGTGGCAACGCATCTGCATTTTGATTCGCAAACGAGGATAGATGTAGATGTCTATGGGCCGCAGCAACCACTTACCATCAGGTGGACTGTGTGCTCGTTTGTCACCCTTATACTATAAAAAAAAGGTTAACTAATTTTTTATTTAAAAGCTGGTGCTTCTCATGTAGTCCCATATAAATTTGATCAAGATCTGACCAGTAGTTTTTGAGTTATCCTTAATAATGCGTATGTAATTGACTTCGACTACTTCGACTATGATGTTCTCATTTTATTTATATTGAAGTCGGTTATACAAAATTATTAATTTTTCAACTTGTTCTCTTGCAAAATCCATCACTTTCGTCATACACGCGCACTCTCATTCCTCTTCCTTTTAATAATACGTTCATTAATGTAACTATCATTTTAACTCGTTCGTTGACAATGCAATGTGAGTGGATCGTTGGTATTCTGAGTACATTTTAAAACAGTCTTTTAGTTCTATAGTAAAACAGCATTAAGTTATATCGTAAACATTCAAACACATACAAACAATTTATCACAAGAACGAGTGATTTTTCTACATAACCCACAAATCATAAAACATTAATTATAAACAAAACCCCAAGTCCTGCAAAGATATGACTTTTTGACATATGTAGCAAATTTTTAAATCTTCAAAATGTAACAACCTTGTTCACGCCAGGCCATACTTGTATGCAACGAAGTTCATCTCCTTTCGGTCACGGCGACAAGTCTCAATGGAGACTAGCCATCGGCGCGGGACAGGATTGTAGTTTTCGAGTGTTTGCGCAAGCACACGCTCTATTCCCTCACTCCCATAGTCCAATGTGACGGTAAACCGACACGACCGGTGAGAGCAGGCGCAGGACCAACGGCTGTACGTGCTTTCCGAGGCACGGGGGTAAAACACCGCCGAGTTCCTGACTCCGAGCTGCTAATTAGAATTCTTAAAAAAAAACCCAATAACAATTTTGGCCCGAGATTCGAACCCGGGACTATCAGCAATACTATCACATAGTAAGCTCGATATTGAACCACGTGTACTAACCTGCATAAGAAGTTCCATTGACTATCATGATGAACTCTACCTCCGCGGAGTCCTTCACCACGCGCCAGTACAGCGCAAACTGCTTGGACAGCTCCTTCTTAGTGTACAGCGACAAATCGACGTTCTTGTCTTTCCATGGCGCTTCTGTAAAGAGAAGAACACAACAAGATGCTTAATGACTTCTTATATTTACGCGAATACTACACATTAAAAGACTAAAAAAACGTGTAGTGGCGGTGTAAGAATATCCACTACCCCACATCGTCCCGTGGGTGTCGTAAGAGGCGACAGACGGAAACAAATCAGGAGATGGGCAGCAGCGTTTTCCTAATAACGTCTTAAAATAAAAAATAAACTACGGTTGCCAACCCGCTTGCAAAGCGTGGCAACTAAGGCAAATATCCCCCTATGAGACAATCTATGAGGATGGCCTATGTGGAGGACTTTTATATGCTATAATGAATAATGGACACTAATAAACTAATTTTACGGATTTTATCGCGTAATTTTTTTTTTACTAAACTTACTTAGTTTCATTGAACAACAAGATGCATTTTTTTCATAGGATAAGGGTGACTAACGGGCACACAGTCCACCTGATGGTAAGTGGTTGCTGTGGCCCATAGACATCTACATTTATCTTCGATTACGAATCAAAATGCAGATGGGTTGTCACCCGTGAGGACTAAGATGGAATGCCACGTTTCCAGTAAAAAGGGTCTCCGGTTCTCTACACTCACCATACGCAACACAGCAGCATTAAGCTGCTATTTTACGCTGGTATTCTGTGAGAGCGTGGTCCTTCCCCGGTCGAGTCGACCCATTCGCGCTCCAACCACAATATAGCTATAGCGTGACTCTACCACGTAATATCTGAGTGTTTGATATCTAAATTATATATATATATATATATATATATATATATATATATATATATATATATATATATATTAAGCTGTTATTTGACGCTGGTATTCTCTGAGAGCGTGGTCCCTCCCCGGTCGACTATACCAGTAATATAGCTGCAGCATGGCTCTACCACAAAATAAAGCATATTAAAGCATGAATGTATCAAGTTATAAGACTTATCGAACAACAGGAAAACCAAGATACTATTAAATAACAAACCCTAGTTTGTTATTCACTATAGATACGCCCCGGCTTCGCACGTGTGACGCCACGCTTAGTAGTCGGGTTGAAAAACTTAGTTTTTTAATTATTTTAGGTTTATGTTACTGGGAAGATTCTGCTGCATTTCCTATTTCAGTTTCGCTCTATGGTCTCTTAACACTCACGGGACGATATGGGGACTGTATATTCTTACGCCATCACCATACACCACACGGTATAAAAAAATAAAATGGTATATTATTTTATAATTATTTTATTTTAGAGAGATTAAGAAAGATTTCTCTTTCCAATGGACAACTAGGCGGTCGGCGGGTCTTCACTCCCTTGTTGTCGATATTCCACGCATTCGGACAAAACGATCTGCTTCGTCTTTCGTAATGCGTACAGCAAAGAAGTGGAATAATTTGCCGGCGTCTGTCGTTCCGTCCGATTACAATCTGGGCGTCTTCGAGGTAAGACTGAATAGGCTATTGTTACCACCACTTTATTTAAAACTTATGTTTCACGCAACGTAATGAATTTATTTTGCACATCCAATGAGGCTTCAGTGGATGGATAAGAGTTAAGAGTAGAGGGAGGCCTAAGAAAAAAGATGAATGGACTGTTTTAGGGATGACATGCGTAAGAAAGGAGTTTTTTTATAGAACAAATGAGCACACAGTCCAGTTGATGATAAGTAGATGCTGTGACTGATTATATCTTCGATTAAGAATCAAAATGCAGATGCATTGTCACCCCTGAGGACTAAGATGGAATGTCTCGTTTCCAGTAAAAAAGGGTCTCTGCACTCACCATACGAAATACAGAAGCACTAAGCTACTATTTTACGCTGGTATTCAGTGAGAGCGTGGTCCTTCCCCGTTCGAGCCGACCTATTCGCGCTACAGTCATAATATATCTGCAGCGTGACTCTACCACGTAATATCTGGGTGTCTGATATCTATCTAATATCTTATGAAGTCTCAAGGGTGATAATGTCTAGACGAACCATATTTGTATGCCATAAAATTATAAACTGTAAAAACAATTGATCGCCCTGTAGCAAATTTCTTTTACCGATGACCTTTCCCTACTGTGTATTGTTATATTTGGTTTTAAATAAAAGTTCAAAAATATAAAATTAAAAAGTTACAAACGGAATAACGAGGCATTCCATCTTAGGCCTTAAGCATCAAATCATCTGCATTTTCATTCTTAATTGAGAATAGATAAGACTATAGTAGGTATTGTTATCGACTAATGTTATCTTTTTAATTCCCGACGTTTCCATAGCACCTACGGTCTGGCGAGGTCTGAGTTGTTGGACGTCCTGATGTGATAGTTAACAAAGGTTCTCTATAACTTTTAAATATTAAGTTTTGGTACGACATACTAAAATCGACATCAAGATGTCAAACACACACAAAACAACCGAAGCGTTGGGAATTAGAAAGCGGTTATAATTAAAGTTAGTTTTATTAATACTTACTCTTGTTGCATCCCTTCCCGTAGAAGCCGTGCGGGCAGTAGCACATGCGGGTGGGGGTCTCAGTGGCGTTGATGTTCAGGCACTTGCCGCGCAACCCGCACTCGCCGTCCTCCGCGCACTCGTCCGCGAACTGGCAGCGCGCGCCCGAGTGCGCCTTGTGGCACTTGCAGCGGCCCAGGATGTGGAACCCGTGCCCCGAGCACGTCTCGTGGTAGTCCTTGCCTGCAACCGCCAACCACTCTCATTGCAAGCTCGGCATCACTGCTAATCATTGTGGTCTATCCACTCGCATTCGCAGCTACCACTCAATGTTAGACATTGTATTCTATCCACTCTTATTCGCAGCTACCAGTCAATGCTAATCATTGTGGTCTATCCACTCTCATTCGCAGCTACCAGTCAATGCTAATCATTGTAGTCTTTCCACTCTCATTCGCAGCTACCAGTCAATGCTAATCATTGCGGTCTATCCACCCTCATTCGCAGATACCAGTCAATGCTAATCATTGTAGTCTTTCCACTCTCATTCGCAGCTACCAGTCAATGCTAATCATTGCGGTCTATCCACCCTCATTCGCAGATACCAGTCAATGCTAATCATTGTGATCTATCCACTCTCATTTTCAGATAAAAGTCAATGCTAATCATTGTAGTCTTTCCACTCTCATTCGCAGCTACCAGTCAATGCTAATCATTGCGGTCTATCCACCCTCATTCGCAGATACCAGTCAATGCTAATCATTGTAGTCTTTCCACTCTCATTCGCAGCTACCAGTCAATGCTAATCATTGCGGTCTATCCACTCTCATTCCCAGCTACCACTCAATGTTAATCATTGTGATCTATCCACTCTCGTTTTCAGATAAAAGTCAATGCTAATCATTGCAGTCTATCCACTCGCATTCTTAGCTACCAGTCAATGCTAATCATTGTGATCTATCCACTCTCTTTCTCAGCTAAAAGTCAATGCTAATCATTGTGGTCTATCCACTCTCATTCGCAGCTACCAGTCAATGCTAGTCATTGCGGTCTATCCACTCTTATTCGCAGATATCAGTCAATGCTAATCATTGTGGTCTATCCACTCTCATTCGCAGATATCAGTCAATGCTAGTCATTGTGGTCTATCCACTCGCATTCGTAGCTACCAGTCAATGCTAATCATTCGCAGCTACCAGTCAATGCTAGTCATTGCGGTCTATCCACTCTTATTCGCAGCTACCAGTCAATGCTAGTCATTGCGGTCTATCCACTCTTATTCGCAGATATCAGTCAATGCTAGTCATTGTGGTCTATCCACTCTCATTCGTAGCTACCAGTCAATGCTAATTTTTCTAGTGTTTAGGGCGGCCAAGCCCGGTATTTTTATTTTCATTACTTGGTTAAAAAGGTGATAGTTATATTATATATTATAGTTATATTATCAAAAATATAACTAATATTTTTGATAAGCATTTATAACGACAGTAATTACAAAACAATCCATCTCGTCACGGACGTCGTAAGAGTTGACTATGTTCGGATACCGACATGTGAGGAAGATATAATACACCGATAGATAATTATCTATAGATGTAATAAAGTTACTTATATTACATATATGTTTGATAGAATATAAAATATCCAAATTGGCGACGAAAGCAGCCTGGTACAAGTACAAAACAGGGTGTGTTGTGGCCGCCAATGAGTCTCCTAAGTGTGGCGATTCATCATCATACTTAGCAGGTATAAGACGCCCATTACACGGTAGGTTTTGCTATCAGTTTTACAACAAACACGGTTGTGATTGACGAATAACCTACCGTGTAATGCGGTGATTGACGGTTGCATGAAATTGATTGACAAATATCTGGATATTTTGATTTTTACGTCAATCAACTATCAGTCACGAATTTTGATTGAACGTGTAATGGCATTTCCTCAATCACGCGTTAGTCAACGCTTAGACAGCAATGGAGGCGGACGCAGAATATAATGAAGAGGCAGCTTCCACGCGCGCGAGCGCGTGGAAGCTGCCTCTTCAGCCCGTGACCACTCCCGCCAAACATGCTTCAGCCAGAAAAAGATTTTATTTGAAATTTTGAGGCTCTCCCCGAGTTGTGAGACACGAAAAACTCCGGAAAAAATTTATTCAACAAATAATACTTATTAAAAGTATTTTATGCTTTTGCCACTGATTCGAAAAAACGTCTGTCGTGTGACTTTTTTCAAAGTGAAGTTATACAATAATAAATAATAGACATGTGTAACCAACTCACGCTGCACAATATCGATGTCGGCGCAAGACCAGAATCTGTAAGTGGGTCCCCATTCCCCAGCCTCCCTTAACAGCTGCAGTGTACAGTTGTGGCACGTGAAGTCGCTGGGTAAACGCACCTCGTACTTTTGTGCACTAAAATTGTTCAAAAATAAATATGAAAATCATTTTGATGCGAATAAATGTGTAATCAGAATGTAGAATAGGCATAGCCTAACGGATTACTAAGCTGAAGTGACAATAGGCTGGTCATATAGCCCGAAGAACCGATAACCAATGGGAAAGAAAGGTTCTCGCGTGGCAGCCTCGTACCGCTAGGCGAAGTATAGGGCGACCATCCGCTAGATGGGGTGATAACCTGGAAAGGCATGTATGAAGTGTTTTTTTATATAGGATAGGGTGGCAAACGAGCACACAGTCCACCTGATGGTAAGTGGTTGCTGTGACCCATAGACATCTACATTTATCTTCAATAAAGAATCAAAATGCAGATGCATCTTCACCCGTGAGGAATATGATGGAATACCTCTTTCCCAGTAAAATGGGTCTCCGGTTCTCTACACTCACTATACGAAACACAGCAGTGTCAAGTTGCCATTTTACGCTGGTATTCTGTGAGACGTGGTCCTTCACCGGTCGAGCCGACCCATTCGTGCTGTAACTATACTACTATTATAGCTGCAGCATAGCTCTAGGTGCTTTATGGCATTCCTTGATCGAGGCCTATATTCAGCAGTGGATTTCTTATAATGATGATGATGAATTGTGTAATCAACTTTACTAAGTGATAGGACTTCTTTTACCGCTTAGGAGTCAGTCAATCCGGGTTGGTACCAGCCTCTCAAGTCTTACCCATTTGTGCCGACAAACAGCAGTGCTTGCTATGTACTGTATTCCGGTCTGCAAGGTATATAAAGTCAGTATAATCAGAAGCTGTGAGGCATTCCATCTTAGTCCTATAACAACGAATATGTAAACTTCTTTCTTTGAAGTTGGCTGCTGTTGTCCATAGACTACCATCAGGTGGACCATTTTTTTATAGAATAGGGTGACAAACGAGCACACAGTCCACCTGATGGTAAGTGGTTGCTGTGGCCCATAGACATCTACATTCATCCTCAATAAAGAATCAAAATGCAGATGCGTTGTCACCCGTGAGGACTAAGATGGAATGCCTCGTTTCCAGTAAAAAGGGTCTCCGGTTCTCTACACTCACCATACGAAACACAGCAGCGTTAATTAACACAAGCAGCGGTATTCTGTGAAAGCGTGGTCCTTACCTAGTTGATCCGCCCTATTCGTGCTGCAACCATAATGTAGCTGCAGCATGGCTCTACCATAGTATAAACCTTAATTTAGTTTGTGAATTTATTATAACAAAAACAAAAAATAAGTAATTATTTTTGATTCAACCGTTGTAGCTATAAATTTCACAGTACTCGAGTACTCAGGTTTGAGTCCTGCTGGCATCAATGAAATTGTTATTTACAGCAAAAATATTTCGAGGACATGAGAAGTCCGCTCACACGCAGAGTTCTAAAGTGACAGAGCCATGCTGCAGCTATATTGTTGCAACACGAATGGACCGTCTCAATCGGAGAAGGACCGCGTTATCACAGAATACTCGCGTTAAAAAGCAGCTTAACGGGGCTGTTTCGTATGGTGAATAGAATAGAATAGAATAGAATATTTTTTATTCAATATACATTACATGTGTAATTCTTATTGAAAGTCATTTTTTACTTTACCACTGGTTCGAAAAAACCCTCTGTCCTGGGAAGAACCAGCAAGAAACCCAGCGGGACTTTTTTTTTAAATAAATTTTACAATATAAATTATTACGAACTATTTACAAAATTTATTTTAGAAACTGCTTGGAAGCGATCACCTCATTCCCAAGGGTTATTATCAACCATGTATTCATTTATACTATAATAAGCCTTTTTATACAGTTTCAGCTTAATAAAACATTTAAACTTGGTAATAGAGAGAACCTGTACACTTTCCGGGACCTTGTTGTAATAGCGTATACATTGCCCCAAGAATGAATTACTGACTCTGTGGAGTCGAGAAACTGGTATCACTAGCTTGTGTTTGTTCCTAGTGTTTACAGAATGTATATCACTTCTTTTACTAAAACTATCTTTGTTTTTGTGAACATACATTAAATTTTCGTAAATATACTGAGAGGCCAAAGTTAATATATTAATTTCTTTAAATTTATCTCTAAGAGACTCTCTCGGTTTTAGATTGTAAATAGCTCTAATGGCCCTCTTCTGTAAAACAAAAATAGTTTCTGAATCAGCCGCATTTCCCCATAGCAAAATCCCATAAGACATTATGCTATGAAAATAACTAAAATAAACTAATCTAGCTGTCTCGACACTAGTGAGAACTCTAATCTTTTTTACAGCATAGGCTGCAGAACTTAGTCTGCTTGCTAATTTGGATATATGGGGGCCCCACTGGAGCTTTGCGTCAAGAGTGATGCCAAGAAAAACAGTGGATACAACAGGGCTCAATTCCTCCCCATTTAAAAACACATTGGTATTCAGATTTTGAACATTCGTTGTTGTAAATTTAACACAATTAGTTTTATTTCCGTTCAAATGCAGATTATTAACGTTAAACCAATGCACTAATTTTGATATAGCAAGGTGAGTGTAGAGAACCGAAAACCCTTTTCACCAGTAACGAGGCATTATTACCCCCTGAGGACTAATATTGTAAGTCCTCAGGGGTGATAACGTATCTACATTTTGATTCTTAATCGAGGATAAATTTTGGGCCTACGGGCCTCAGCATTCACTACTTGATAAGGTAAGACTGTGTTCTCGGTTGTCTGCATTTCGATTCGAGGATTGTGATGTATTTTGTCAGACAGATGTAAATTTATACATAATATTAAATAAAACATAACAAATTATAAGTTACAAGTTTATGATTCAAAGTATAAATAAATTAATATACCTAGTCAGGTCATAAGTATTGTTGTCACACAGTAAAAACTTTTCTTTTAGAATGTTGGCCACAAAAAAGTTTATTGAATTCGAATTTCGAATTGTTCATGAAAATAAAACTGTATACTTTTTAGAATTTTACTCATTTTTAAATATGGAGTGGACGCTTAAAGAAGACCGTGTTGCAGTTATTGCGTTGCATCGTTGCGGTTACGCGCCAATTCAAATTTTTGACATACTGAAAAATTTGAATATAACCAAGAGATTCGTTTATCGTACCATCAAACGATACAATGAAGACTCTAGTGTAGATGACAGGTCAAGAAGTGGTCGCCCTCGGTCTGTTAGGACTCCAGCAGTGATAAAAGCTCTGAAGGCGCGAATTCAAAGAAATCCCAAACGTAAGCAGAAACTGTTGGCCCTTCAGATGGGGTTAAGCAGAACCACGGTGAAAAGGGTGTTAAATGAAGACTTAGGGCTTCGGGCATATCGAAGAAAAACAGGACATCGTTTGAATGCTCGTCTAATGGACCTGACACTGAAGAGATGCCGCGCTTTGTTGAAGCGGTACGCGGGAAAAAAATATCGGGAAATTCTTTTTTCGGATGAAAAAATTTTTACTGTAGAAGAGAGCTACAACAAACAAAATGATAAGGTGTACGCACACAGTAGTGAAGAAGCGAGCAACCGTATTCCGCGTGTCCAACGAAGTCATTTTGCATCCTCGCTCATGGTATGGTTGGGAGTTTCTTATTGGGGCTTAACAGAGGTACATTTTTGTGAGAAAGGTGTAAAAACGAATGCAGTTGTGTATCAAAATACAGTCCTGACGAACCTTGTGGAACCTGTTTCTCATACCATGTTCAATAACAGGCACTGGGTATTCCAACAAGATTCGGCGCCAGCTCATAGAGCGAAAAGCACACAAGACTGACTGGCGGCGCGTGAAATCGACTTCATCCGGCACGAAGACTGGCCCTCCTCCAGTCCAGATTTGAATCCGTTAGATTACAAGATATGGCAACACTTGGAGGAAAAGGCGTGCTCAAGCCTCATCCCAATTTGGAGTCACTCAAGACATCCTTGATTAAGGCAGCCGCCGATATTGACATGGACCTCGTTCGTGCTGCGATAGACGACTGGCCGCGCAGATTGAAGGCCTGTATTCAAAATCACGGAGATCATTTTGTATAAACTTTAGTGTCATAAGAATCTATGTTTTGTTAACTTCATTTTGGTATATAAATGGTTACATAATGAATAAACTTGTTTCAATTATTTTATATTAAACATGTGACAGAATTTATGACCTGACTAGGTAATTGTTTCACTTTTATAATCAGTAAGTTATCAAATACTAATTTATTCGATTTTATCTGTCGATTAAAAATCAGCTATAAAAATAAAAGCTACAAAAACTTACGTGACATCATCCCTCACAAATTCCGACCCTCCGGCTCTTGGTGTTAGGTCCAAAACTGGTCGTTCTAAATCATCCAGGATTCTTAAGCTGAAACCACCCTACAATAAAAAGAAAATTTAAAATAAAAGAATTTTCGCCCAACGTGGGGCTCGAACCCACGACCCTGAGATTAAGAAAAGAAAATTTAAAATAAAAGAATTTTCGCCCAACGTGGGGCTCGAACCCACGACCCTGAGATTAAGAGTCTCATGCTCTACCGACTGAGCTAGCCGGGCTTGAGTAATATGATCGAATTTATCAATTACTTACTTTATGTGCATAAGCTAAATGCCAATGTACAGTGAATGTTGAACCCGCTAAAAAAGAAGTCTTCAATGTTCCTGAAACAAAAGAATAACTGAAATTATTAAATATACATAAATATACTGGTTTATTTTATATATATAGTTCATAATAAAGATAAGTTCAGATTTAAACATTCCCGACATAATCTATATAGACCCTTTCTACTGGCAAAGAGGCATTCCATCTTAGTCCTCACAGGTGACAACGCATCTGCATCTTGAGTCTTTATTGAGGATAGATGTAGATGTCTACGGGTCACAGTAACCACTTACCATCAGGTGGACTGTGTGCTCGTTTGTCACCCGATCCTATAAAAAAAAATAATCATGAAAAAATTATTTTAACAAATTATTACATTGAATCTCGTTTCAAATAAAAATATATTTCCAAAAAAAGCAGACGAAACAGAATTGAAATAAATTCTGCACTAAATACGACTCCATCTAGCGGCAACTAGTTAACACAATGCAATGTAGTAGCAAATATAGCATTTCACAACAACTACCCACAGATGTCGCAAGTAGGTTATAATGTAAAAATCTTTATTACATTATGAACGTGGGAAAGAATAGTAAAACTTCTCATTCATAAATAAGTAGAAAACTATTTAAACATCCAAATTGATTATACAACACAATGTATTCTCATTGGTTGCGCCTAATAAAAGAATTCTATTTTGGTAATTGCGTATTTATGGCTTGTTATAACACCAGAATTTGTGTGACTGAACGTAGTTATTACGTAGTAATTATTAACGGAGTTATCCTTTAAAAAATTTAATATCATGTTCACCATGACTTTCAGTCACAAAACAACTGGTTAATAAAACTTTAATATGATGTAAATACAACTTGTCATATTTTCGAGTAGTTTCTTGCTTACGGCATATATCAATCTTAATTTGGACATAAAAAGTAATTGCGGTCGACCGTGACAGGACTCGAACCTGCAATCTTCGGATCCGAAGTCCGACGCCTTATCCATTAGGCCACACGGTCACATGACGTAATGGTTGAGAATAGAACACTAGGTATACAGCTTATGCGCGCGCATTATTTTCGCAAGTAACTTAATTTTATCTATATAAATGAAATCAATTGCTATCCGTTAGTCTCGCTAAAACTCAAAACTGGCTCGTAAGATTCTAATGAGATTTTTCGTGTGTGTTTAAGAGGGTCCCTGTTGTCGAATTCCAGAAATCACCCTTGCGAAGCCGCAACAGATCGCTGGTATTTGATAAAAAAATTAATAAACGTAGGTTACATGGCGTCGAAACCACAGAATAGTTAAATAATAGTTAAAAGAAGTCGAAACAAAAATATGAACAGACAATTATTTTTAATTACCTGAAAATAATTAAAAACATTAATTCGAAATTTAATCACATAATGTAATGTGCTTACAATAATTTACATAACAAAAGATTGCAGATTTTTTTTTTATATAGGATAAGGGTGACAAGTGAGCACACAGCCCACCTGATGGTAAGTGGTTGCTGTGGCCCATAGACATCTACATCTATCCTTGTTTGGGAATCAAAATGCAGATGCGTTGTCAGCCGTGAATACTAAGATGGAATGCCTCTTTTCCAGTATAAAGGGTCTCCGGTTCTCTACACTCACCACACAAAACACAGCAGCGGTAAGCTGCTATTTTACGCTGGTATTCTGTGAGAGCGTGGTCCTTCTCCAGTGTACCCATTCGTGCTACAACCATAGTATATGTAGCTGCAGCATGGCTCTACTAAACTTTTAAGGTAATGGAACACATATCAAATCCCTTTTATTTTCTGTAACCCCACTTCAAATTATTACATATCATAGACAGTGTAATTGAAATAATAATAATAATCTTTATATATAAAAAATTACGTGTCAAATTGTTTGTCAGCGATGAACTCCTAAACCATGGCACTGATTACAATGTAATTTTTGGTCAATGTGCAGTTTGGTCCAACTTGAGAGATAGGATAGTTTCTGTACTGATAAGAGACCCTTAATGTTTTTATTTCGCATTTAAGGATTTTTTCATTGTACAAAGGGTCATGAGAAAGGGCAAAAAACGTCTGCCTGGTCACCTAGTACCTATAATATTATTCTCGCTAACTACCTACGTATCTAGATAACTGTAATAGGCATTTTATACGTGGTAGAGCCATGCTGCAGCTATATTAGTAGTATAGTTGTAGCACGAATGGGTCGGCTCGACCGGGGATGGACCACGCTCTCACAGAATACCAGCGTAAAATAGCAGCTTAACACTGCTGTGTTTCTTATGGTGAGTGTAGAGAACCGGAGACCCTTTTTACTGGATAAGAGGCATTCCATCTTAGTCCTCACGAGTGACAACGCATCTGCATTTTGATTCGCAAACGAGGATAGATGTAGATGTCTATGGGCCACAGCAACCACTTACCGTCAGGTGGACTGTGTGCTCGTTTGTCACTCGAAAAAAAAAGGCTCTTCTCATCACATATTTTGCGCCAATTCAATATAATATTTATAGCAAATTGTAAAATTATGTAACAAGCAAAAATAAATAATTTCGCGGAATCCTATGACTTTTCCCGCTATAGGAATCTCGGTACTATGTAATATTATGATATGTTATAATGTGTAGACCGGGACTGGACTTTTCTATAAAGTGATAAATATACTATCGTCAGCGCCAATCGCCGTACGAATGAGCTGAACCACCAAGTATGTGTACTTGGTGGTTCAGGTCTTTTGACGAACGAGGCCGAGTTTTTGACTCAATGAAAACTAACCATCTACGCAGGACTCTATTCTCTCACTCTCATAGTTCGATAAGACGGCAATCCGACACGACCGGAGAGAGATCAGGCGCAGAAGCAATGGCTTTGCGTGCTTGAAAGCCGTTGCTACTGAGAATTTCTTGACAAAAAACCTAATGTCTAATTATGGTCCGACGACCTCATGATTAATAAACGCGTTTACGTCTACTTAAACAGTTACATGGACGTAAACGCGATTTCGACGCGCGGACGACGTTACGAGGCAGTTAAATATATACCAGCACGCCACATAACGCACAAAAAGGTGGATAAAAACCACCTTTTATACTATATGATCGTCCAACCCTCCAAGTACAGATTTGACAAACAAATTGCTCGTAGAGTAATGAGTGTTATGCTTTGCTGGAGAAATAGTTGTACATTATCTCTGTACTCTTTAGAGCGAAGAGTCACGAAACATGTCAACACTTAGAGTATATAACACGCTTATGTATACTCTAGTAAAAACGTTGCCACAGAGTATACAATTATATTAAAGCAAGTATGTATACTCGTAAGTGTCAATGTTTTTACAGGGAATGTCGGGTTTTGACGGGAACTTGACTGGCGACGGTTTGCTGCTCCTGTATTATTGTTTAAATAATGATTTGAAGTGGTATTTGATATGTAAAAGTGGTGCGATTATGTGTCTGTACGTGTCTGCACATGTGAAAAATGAACTATTAGTGGAAACCGTGACACAAGTGCTCTGATCAAGATAAGGTGTCTCTGCTTCGGCGCCTTGAGATACCATCGTCAACTGTCAGCTGTCTGCTGGCTCAAGTTGCCGTCAAAATCTCAACGTCAAAAACATATTGTGAAACAGTATATTATGAAGGATAATTATACATTTTAACTTCAGGCTCAGAAGGGCTAGAACCCAGAGCCGTAAAACTAGTTATAAAAAAACAGGGTATGTATTTTTGACGAAAGTCATCAACACTCAATAACATTTACTTGTAATATAATAATACGAGTAGTTAAAGTTACAGCCTACGTCCCACTGTTGGGCACAGGCCTCCTCTCATTTCTAAAAGGGTTTTAGGGAAACTGTCCGCCGCGCTGCTCCAATACGTGTTGGCGGACTTCACATGTCTTCGAAATATATTTTTTTTATTTCTCAGATA